GGTGGTGGGTGAGTACTGATGAAGAGTTCCAAACCAGGCTGATGAAACAGCTGTCCAGTACTCCCAGTTGGTTTTCCAACGGTTCTCTAACTGTTGTCAGCTGATGATGAAATCCTGAAACCAATCAATCAAATCTCTACAAACCAATACTTGAATAACTTTTAATTAGAAATCAATTGGTGATCATTTTCAAAGGTCTTAAGATTAATCCTTTCAGATGTTAGGTGGTTAATTTCACTTTCAGACGCAATCGTGACTTACATGTACTGGTTAATTCGTATACACATGTACGGCACAGAAGTTGAAACTAAATCAAATTTTAAATTCCTTGGGCTGTACATTTCCTCTGATCTTTCGTGGTCTTCACACATCATATTAGTGATTAGAAGGGTATTTCGTTTAACATTCTATGCGACGAAGTTAAGACAGTGTGGTATCACTAAGTCTCTACTTTACAGTTTGCTTATTCTTGTATTCAACAAGTTTTCATTTCCTGCGCCTACCTCTCTTCTTTAATCTCTCATTGGGTTACTGAAGAAAGACTTTGCTTTACAGAAAATAAAAGATAATTCAGGGAAGAAAATCTTTTTTAACAACGAAATCATCTTCAGAGGCTGTACAGTAAAATTTATGTTTACCAAAATTGTGTAGTAATCCATTAATGAGTATTGGGGGTGTGTGAAATAATTGATAAAGTTACTGAGAAGTGGCTTAAAAAGTAAAAATAAAAGTTATAAATTATGTAGCACTCAACGACACAAAGGAAGAAAGCGTTAGAAATTTTGATGAGGTTAAAATTGTTGCTGATTGAGAATAAAAGTAGTTGAGTGTCCTCCATTTAGCAGGTGTGAAGAGGGTGAGAAAATGTACAAAAAGAACATGCGAGAGAGCAGTAATAGTGAACTAATTATTAAAGTAAAAGCAAGGTAATCATTACAATTTGAAGATATAGAATAAGAGACTGGACAAACGTTTTCTGTATACGGAGTTCTTGGTTGTACTGACGAATTGCCAACGCCTCCGCCATATACAAATGTCAAAAACTGATGCTCACTGTACCATTCGGTCTCACCTTGTAGATGATCTTGAAAGACAACTCTGGTGGAGCTACGTGGCTTGAGTTCACCAATTGCTCGAAAATTGAGCTAGTAACTGTCTTGCATCGTTCTTTTGCTAACCATGCCAGATAATGTTCAGGGATGCGTTTGGAATGTGCGCGCCAAGTTGCGCGGCCAATATAACTAGCTCCACAGGAGTAGGAGAATTTATAAACATACGTTGTGGTGGCCCAAAGTGGCAGTTTATCCTCGACACATCCATTGATCTTTTTTCGTTTGTAGAAACTTATCCGTAGCTCAGCCATAGAGAAGGCTGTTTCAGTGATCTAGATAGACAATTCTTCAGAATCTCAGCTGCGGTTTCCTCTTTGAATCCAATGTTCATGAATAGCAGTTTCTTCGGCACCGTCTGGGTTCTTTCGGGTTTTTACTTTACTTTCATGTTGTTTCTCGATGAATATTTGAAGATATCCATTTTCCATGAGGACTCATCTGAGTCTCTCCGGTTCACCATCGGTTGTATCACTGCAACATATCCTTCTTTTTTTGAGGATAAGGAGTGGATCAGATTCTCCTTTATTCTCAAAGGGACCCAATTATGAAAATTCGTGTATTGACCATTCCATGTTGGTTTCCTGTAGACTGATCTTTGAAGAGAACTCTCAGATCTCATTCGTAGCGAAATATCCACATTTTCAAAGGCGCTAAAAGCTGTGATTAGGATGAGTAGAGTGGTGCTAAAACAACTTGTTAATACTACTGTAGACAGACAAATTGTATTCATAACTCTCTCCTAGTATCTCGTCAAGTGGAGGAATTAGAAGCAACTATTGTATTATTATTGTTTCCTTTGATTCCTGGAGAAACATAGAGCTTTAGCCTCACGTCTCCATTGCGTTCGCTTCCCCAGCAAGGTTTTCAGCTGGCTCCACGTCTGCCCGAATACTTTAATCTTCTCTTCCCATTACCTCCTCTATGTTACTCTCGTACTGACGACCGACTCGCCTCTTTCCATTCAGTTTCTACTCAAGCGATGGCCTAACGTGTGATGTCACTCAGTTGATGATTTTCTCAGTGTATGGCCACAATCCACCTCCATTTCTTCCTTGATATTTGTTGAACATTTGGTTCCTGGTTGTTTGCCTCCCAGAGATCCCTGTTGCTGAACTTTTCTGGCTGGCCATCTGATTTTGAGCGAAGAAAGCTGCTGATGGTCTGTAGTTTGTTCAAGGTGTCCTTCGTGACGCGCTGGCCAAATCTCTGATCCGTACAGTAAGTAGCACTGACTTCATATTGGAGCTGAAAATCCATATCTTATTTTGCATGCTGAGTGGTAAGCACTGACCTCCACAAAGGCTTGAGAGTAATGAAAGCTTGCCTTGATTTTCCAACCAATTTTGATATCATCTTGTTGTAGTATATATCTGAATATTCATCCATATGTTGATCATGATGACGAATTCAAATCACTACCTATCCAGCGTCAATAAACCTGGAAATCTATGAAATAACGGAAATATGCTGATAGCTGCATTTCAGATCCCATTGACTCATTCACTGGTAATATTCTGCTCATTCATGCTTCAGTCGACATTCTGTATGGATTGGTTCGCAGTCATTCTGGTTCCTTACCGAAGAGAATCAAATATTCACCGGTTGCTGAATTATTCGTACTTCTCCGCATTTTTAACTGCATACTAACTGCTGCGGTGAGCCTCTCACAGATTATATTGCTGAAAATATTGTTTATGGTAAATTAACTAACGTTTTAATTAGCCCTTTTTATACTTTTGTGACTAGCTCACCATATCGACCACATGTAACGCAACACTCAGTTGTTACGCGCATTTTCGACAAATTCAAACAATAATGGTGCCTAGGATTATATTATATAAATTGTTTTAACTTATGCAAAGTGTGCTTACTGTCATTATTCCATTACCTTCCCATGTATATATACATATCCTGTGTCAGTGAAAAATTGCAAACATACTTACTCCATGTATACATTATTGTCATATTGATGATGCCTATAAACTAGCGTCGACTCATGTACAAAAAATGAGAATATATTATTATTATTATTAAGTGTATAAAACACTTTAATATATGTGTAAAACTTGGGCACTGTGGTAGTATATAATTCCATATTAGTTTGTTTATTAGATGTGTCACACAGTGAAACAATATTACTTACTGGATGACGTTTTGAACAAAATTTATTGTTCATAATCATATCAATTGTAATCACACGACTTTGAGACTTGAGTTTTATAGTTTTGTTTGTCTTCACCTATTTGTCTTAGGGGTAGTTGAATTTTCCAGATATCTGGGACAGGTGTTGAATCATTCCTATTACATGTATTCACAGCTGATTCGATAAACAAAGCTTCTGTTATCAATCTCTCCCCCACACTGTGACATTAGATTTTAAAACTGTCATCCTATCCCATCCATCCTATTGTATGGTTGTATGTAACTGCATGTAGTGCTATAGCTAAGCCATTCTCTAGATTTCTTATTTTATTCAAGTCAACCAACGTAGATTTTGCTAAGTTTTTATGTTCAGCTAGTCTGACTGCCCCTGTTCTACTAGTTTGACCTATGTATTTGACCTGACAATCATTGCAGGCAGGGTATTCGAGAAACTAAATTGTTTTGTTTTAAAGACTCTACAGGATTGATCCTTTAGCCGACAAAGCTTGTTTCTAATTGAGTTTGTGGGTTTGAATGCCAGCCACTTTTATTCCTGCCTTGTTAATAATTCTGCGTTAGGTGGTTTTCGAGGTTCCTTCCTTTGTATGGAATTACTACTGATGATTTAGATTCCTTATTATTGGTGTCGTCATTAATATTATTATTATCACTATTGTTATTATCATTATTATTGTTATTATCACTATCGCTACTGTTATTATTTATTTTATTTTTACATTTCCTTACATATTTCCTGGCTAATTTATCAGGGTAATTATTAAGTTTCAAAGCTTCTCTTATGTTCCTCACTTCCTGTCTTAGATTTTCCTTGGTACTACTTAGTTTTTGTGCTCTATTACTTAAACATTTCACCAATCCTATTTTCACTGACATGTGATGGGATGATCGGAAGTTCGAATATCTGTTTGAGTGTGTGGGTTTCCTGTAAACACTAGTGTTTAACTTCCCATCTTTTCTCCCTTTTTACGCTACAATCTAACATTGGGAGTTCTCCTTCTTGACTTTCCAATTCATAAGTGAATTGGATTGCCTCTACCTTAGAGTTAATGTGTTCGAAAAATCTATCTATAAAATTATACTAACCCAACGACGATAAATAGGAGAGAACAAAGAAAACTAAAAAATTCAAGTCTCAAAATCGTGTGATCACAATTGATGGAATGATTATGATCAATTAATTGTGTTCGAAACTTTGTCATCCAGTAAATAATACTGTTTCACTGACTGTGTGATACATCTAATAAACAAACTAATATGGAATTATAAAACACTTTCTCTACAAAAATCTTTATTCGTGAGAAGGGAGTAACGCTCATTCATCAAATAATTAAGCTTTATTATTTCATAGTGTCACTGCAAATATTCAGGTATTATTATTATTATTATCATAACCATTGGTTATGGCTTTATTTTCGCCCACTCCAGTGTTAAAGTCGATTGGGTAAAACACTACACAATATCTGGCACAAAATATAAACCAATAAGAAATAACCTTTTCAAAAATGCACACAACTTTAATATCCATGGTGCTTATATACACATAGATAGATATATATAAACAGGACCAGTTATCCGTGGAATAAGCCTACTGTCTTGTCTATTCACCTCTAAATACTTGTGTGTCGAAGACGATTACATAGGAGAAAATCGTAAAACAAAACAGAAACAGAGAAAACAATTATGAAAATCAATTTGAACTAATCTTGATCACAAATTATCATCATCATGTTTCATCACTATTTGTCGTGGTCAATTATCCCCTCAAGATTATGCCCATTATTAATTTTAGTAGTATTATTACTGCTACAATGTACAATTCCGTATTCACTTGTCACAGCATTACCTGAAGAAAAACATCCTACTTATTCATATACATATACTACTCATTCACCCAATGAATTCAGTAGTACTGACACGTCAGGCATTTATCTAAACTGTCCACTGTTACACGCACAAATCGGAGACAAATTAGTATTCTTTGAACACAACTCACCGATACATCAAGTTATCTTAGACAAGAGTAACTTAAAGGCGAATTATGCATTCGCAGTGTCAGAGTTTAATAAAACTGCTGGGTATAGATGTGAATTGCATCGTTCAGTTGAAAATGATATGCGTATTATTTCAAAAATTCAATTACTACTCACTTCAAATATCAGTAAGTTATTTATTTTTATGATTAATTTATATTTTACACTGTGCTATAAGTCAGTCGGTAGCCTATTGGTTAATGGTTTTGCATTTGAACTGATAAGTGGTCTGTTGTAGTCTCAGTGTGGATGTTGGTACATCCGAATGACGAGTTGTAGAAAGGATGAAATGTGTACTTCGTATTCTGAAACTAGCTATCAATAAACTAGTAAGCTAACTTAAGCTGACCGACTGAGTGACTGACTGATTGATTTAGTTTCAACACAGACGTTCAGCAGCTGAAGATGCCACACTTTATGAAGTACACAGAGGTAGAGAAAAGAGATTCAGAAAAACTGTTACAAGCAGAAATGTGTGAGATAGAGTAACATGAAAAAGAAACATGAGAATTGAATGGATCTGAGAGATTAAACAGAGTGAATGCATCTGAGCCACTGACAGTGATCTCCAAGACTCTAACCAGCAATTATATATCTCCAAACTAAGTTCACTTTTAACAGTTTGAAAAAATTTGGGCATTGGGTATATGATATTCATTATAATAAAGGTTTTTTGCATTTCCCAATGAATGAAAAGGAGCAAACCGATAGTGTTGTTTTTACTGACGTTCCGCTATTCAATGCAGCTGCTAATAGCTTTATCTAAGTGGTATTATTAAACCAGAATTTACAAAATCTCAGTTAATATAGAACAACTTAATCATCATTCCTCAGCATGGGGTCATTTTTACGTTGTCAAGTTGGTCAAAACGAGATCTACACAGTTCATTCTTGGAGAAAATAAATAGTCTATCTCCCAGAATCCATTTTACTTCGGAAGCAGAATCAGACGTTGGTGAACCACCATTTCTGGACCAACTGGCTAGTTAAGAGGAGGGAAAACGGGCATTTTAGTGTATCTATATTCAGGAAGAAAACCCACTCCAACAAATATTTAGACTTCGAATCATCACACCCCATCAGCGCAAAGGCATCAGTTGTTTCAAGTCTTCTTAGACGAGCACACTCTTTGATAACGGATGGGAAAGAAAAAGAAGAAGAAACATCAAACATGACTGAGACTCTCAAGCAAAATAACTACCCAAAGAACTTTATTAACAAAATCAACATTGACATTAACTATGGTTTAAAACACATGAACCTCAGCAGTTGTCAATCCATATAGAGCGGAGACGTCAAACAATATCAGAAGAGTATTCAATAAGGTCGGCATCAGAGTTTCCTTCAAAGCAACAGACACACTATAAAGCAACCTTGTCTATATAAAAGACCAAATCCCTACAGATTCTCTATCTAATTGTGTCTATAAAATAAAATGCCTGGAATGTGATGTGATGTACATTGGACAAGCATCGCGAAAAATCAAGGTAATCGGAAGAGATGAACATCGTAGAGCATCTGTTCGACCACCGAAAAATTCAGTTGAACTAGAAAAGCTTGAAAAATCATCAGCCATAGGTCTACACATGACGCTATAGAATCAGGCCACAAAACTGATTTTTACAGTAGTGAAATAATCACCAGGAAAAACTTCAGAAATCACAGAGGACGTTTAATATCATCAGAAGCACTTCATATCAAATGAAATCCAAATTGTCTGAATAGGAATGATGGACTAAAACAGAATTTGACCTGGTTACAATACCTTCCTCCTCCATGAAGTGACAAAATCAACACGGGTTTGATAAGCAATTTCACTTTGTATAGACATACTGCTTTTATACTTTTATACGCTTATCAAATCCAACAGTCTACACCTGGTTTTGTTATCTTTAGCAAAAGGCCAATTTGATGATGCGAAAATGACTCCACGCTGAGGAACGATGATTAAGCTGTCATATATAAACTGAGATTTTGTAAATTCTGGTTTGATAATATAACTTTGATAAAGTTATTAGCATTATTAAATAGCGAAACGTCAATAAAAACAGCAATATTGTTTTGTTTTTCATTCGTTGGGAAATACAAGAAAACCTTTATTATAATGAACTCCAACTAGGAAGTCTACACTTAATCACTCATAGTGATATGATGGCATGGGTTGAAGACGACCTTATGCTAAAAGAAGGCCAATCAGTTCAGTGTGAGAGTTGTTTATCCAATATACCTGCACCTTAGTAAGCGGTTATATTGTCAATAAAACTTCAGTCTAACCGCTGTCACTATCAGCTTACTATTGAGCCATGATGGGCATCTCTCGTTAGACGCTTTCACGAATGTTTGTTCATTTTTCTTTGAGTTTACATGCTAATGGTTAGAAGAAACAGATTGAGAAGTAAAAAGGATGTAGGCACTGATCAGCAAAAGTGTCAAATACAAGCAGCTTCATTTCAGTGGACTTTAAAATCATACAAGGCTTATATCAGGCGTAGAATCGAAAGTGTCATTAAGTTGCTATTTTTGAGTGTTTATTGACTCCTTGAAAGAATCATTTAAAATAATGAGAAGCAAAAGTTACTGGTATTTTTTCATAATATCCTGGATAATTCTAGAAAGGCGTGAATTCTCGTCAAAGTGTTATGTTTGCTAGGCATACTAATCTTTTCCAGTATGACCACAAATTGTCGACGATTGTCATCAGTCAGCCTTAGATGACAGTAGACAGTTAAGTAGACACCGTCCTCCAGTTCACTTGATCCACACTCAAACCCAATGCGTATGCATGACCATCAAGCGCCACTCTGCTCCCAACAATCGTTTCACACCTGTACTGCACACCTTCTACACGCATTCAACCACCCATCGACAAGCAGAGAAAATACTGATCTTTGTCTAATCTAGCGTATTACCAGAAGATTCAACTTAGCCGTTGACAGATTACCACTCTAGAAAATATGTTTTTTTAGAGGGCGTAAAGGAAGTAACCTACAGAATTAATTCCACATACAGGTGCAGGAACGCATAATGATTCTGTGGGAATGGTTACTCAAATCGTGTATAGGAGTATTTGTCCAGATACCATCAGGTATTATTATTATTACTATTATTATTATAACTCACTAGAGGTACTGATCATATTTACCAATAGAATAAAACTTTACATTCCAGGGAAAAGTATAAGATCTGACACTAAGACAAAATGGAAGTCTTGACAGTTTATTTGTTCCAAGTTTGGATTTCTAATATCATCAGGTTTCCTGTATCTCTGTTCATTTTCCAACCCTTTTCTGACGCCATAACTGTTGTTGTCCCAGTTCACACTCATCTTTACACTGAACTTATTAATTTCTAAGCTTCCATTAGCGTCTTATTCATCTTGCCTTATGCATAAAGTTTTTAGACTATCAGACGGTTTCTTTTTCCTTCACAATATCACGACATTAACGTCGAACAATTTTCTTATATACAGGACTCACATTTCATCTTATTTGGGCTCATAACAGGCTGCTATCATAGCACAGAAGCCTAGTTGATGACAATTTGTGATTTAAAAATACAGTTGCTGGGTGTGAGACTTAATAGGGACACAAATGCTCACTGGCATTCAGGTATAAATATACAGTTGAGAAGACCCACATATGATGAAATACGCGTTTTAGATTTCATTGATGACCACCATTAACGAAGTAACATCAGACTAACCTAAACACATTGTCAGTGCATCTGCCATGTTGAATAAGAGATGAAATTAGCCTGCTGATATGATGATGTAATCATTCGCAAATATAACTTGCTATTAACAACCTTAGTATATATATATATATGTACAGGTTGCTATGTGTGTATCCTTTTGAAAATGACTTGAAAAACATTGCTCAGATTTGGTTACAAAGAGAAGGCAGTGGTACATATTCAGAAGTGTTATGATCCAGTACCTCATTAGCATCTAACATAAGATCTCAATCTACTAATCATATTCTGAATCATTTGTAGATTAAAAAGAGACCTAACTAGCACAGTATGTTTCCGATTCCTTCATACTTCATAAATCCTCTCTGTATTCATAAAGAAGCCAGAGTTATGTATCCAGAAGAAAATCGTTCATTCCGACCTTGTCTATCTTGAACTTGGTTTCGTTGATTTTATTCTAGTCTCCGAAGATCTCTATTAATTTTTGATTTTCATCTTCATTTCGATGCTTACCATGAAGATACCATATTTTGGGAAAATATTACCTCACACATTACTCAGTCATGCCTCTAAACATGCCTTATTCCGCATTCTATTCTTTTTTTTTCATTAAACTTGGCAGCGCATAACACAAGCCGACTTTTATTTTATCATATCGCCATTTAATTTCCCTTCCGACTTTATGTTCTAATAAGAATGCTACAGGATGGAGTTTCCTAGAGTTCTAGTGAAAACTTGTGACCAGTGAGGTACATCCAGTCAAGTGTGAGGATGGATGTTCCGCCGATGACATTGGTTGGTGGTCGCGCTAAATCCCGAATTGGTAGAAGTTAGAATTCATGTATAGGCTAGCCATTGAATCGGGTCCCAGTGGCTGAATGGTATACGAGCCAGCTTGCCTTGTAACTGGAAGGTCCCTTGTCGAAAATGACTCAATTTATAAAGTATCGGTGTTGTAGGGATTTTGTTTTGACCTTATGTTCACTAGCGATTAGCACTGTTCAGGCAGTTAACCTGGGGTTCTAGTGTGAAGCCGTGACCAGTAGGATACAGCAGGTTGTAGGTGAGGACAGTAACTCATCTAAGAAGACATTTCGAAGTGGTCGCATTATGTCATGAATTGGTAGAAGTTAGAATTCATGGGCTGGTCACTGGATAGGGTGGGTCCCAGTGGCTTAATAGTCTACGAGCTAGCTCGCCTTGTAACCCAAAGTTCCTGGATTAGAACCCTGTTGGTAGATGCGTACGGATGAAAAGTCCCAAACTAAGCTGACGAAACAGCTGTCCAGTAATCCCTAGTTGGTTTTCCAACGTTTTCTCTAACCGATGTCAGCTTATAATGAAATCTTCCTCCAACCAACCAAACAAACAAAAATCCCTACAAAAATCAGTACTTGAAAAATTTTATTCAAGCATTCAATCTTATCTTAAACATATG